GTTATTATATTTGTAAGCTACGGATTTAACTGCGCTATGAGTGGTCTTTATTGCTGCGGTTTACTGTGAACTGAGTGCTTGCTACGATCCGGGCGTACCGGTTTAGTGCCCAGTAATCTTCCCTGGTTAATACACCGCGTTTCTATGTCGTTTGCATTAGAAGGACCAACTTACATAGGCCTCTGCTGCGGCGCTAAGCGTGCCGCGAGACATACGGAGATGGCCGAGTGTGGTGCATCGGACAAGTGCGCGCGAGTGAGGACGGATTGGAGCTCGCGTCGCCCGTAGGCTGCGCCGCGTAGGAGCCAACGCGGTTCTTGTTGGTGCCCTGCTCCGCAACCCGGCAACGCCCAAGTCGGGCGGACCGTTCAGGGGTCTCAGCCGGCGTCGTGGCGTGTGCGAGTGGGAGTGGGGAGGCTGCTCGACGCGTTATGCCGCGCACCAGTGGGGAGGGACCGGGTCGCACACGACCACGGCGTGCGATATACTTTGGCCTGGGCCCTGGGCTGCGGTGTGGGCATGCAGGCGAGACGTCGGGGTTAGACCCTTGCCGCGCCGCGCCTTCCCACTGAGGCGAGCGACAGGAGAGCGCCACTTTGCTTGATGCGTATTCCCCCTGCTATCGCTGCTTGGTGTCCGCCCTGAGGGTTTGCGGGGCGGCAAGGAGGGCGGTGCGGTCCAAGTGGCTGGGGTGTGGTGTTGCAGATTCCTACCTGGGAGGGCCCCGCCTTTTCGGGCCCGCAGACCGGCCCTTCCGCCAGTCTCGTCACTCAAAGGAAAGGTGTGCTTGTCCCTCTCGAGCGGAGGGGGAGCAGGCAAAAATCCCGCCCTTGGTGGGCTCAAGCATTCCCTTATAGGAGAACTGGAGTTTAGTTATGCACTAGTGAACTTTCACCAAAGGTTCTTGCGTTCACATCTCCCTGCGCAAGGCTTAAGTTCCCCGTCTTGTTGTATTCTTAATTTGTCGGTGTCTTCTTTTTTGTGTTTAAATTTATTTTGATTCTAAGATTTTTTTTTTCCGCCAGGCTTACTCTGTTGCTTCATCGGCTATTGGTTCTTTTGATTTCGTGTAGTTTGCGGTTCGATCCTCTTTTTTGTATTTCCCCCTTACAAAAACTAAGGCCGCTAGGGGGATCGAACCCCTGACCTCCGTCTTACTAGGACGGCGCTCTGCCATTGAGCTAAGCAGCCAGTTGCTTTTCTACTATGTGTTTTCGAGTTTTTATTTACATTTGACCCTTAAAAAGGGTCCAGCCGGGAATTGAACCCGGGACCTCTCCCACCCTAAGGGAGAATCATGCCACTAGACCACTGGACCGATGTTGGGTCAGATTCGTGGTCTGTGGGTGAATTCTACCTTCGCCTCGGTAGCCCCCTCCGTGCTCAAGGTTGGCTTTTTTGTGGGAATTTTTTTTTTACCATTGCCGCGCGGTGATCTTTTCTTTTTGAGGGGTTAAGCTCTACTTTGGAAAATGATGATTTGTGAAATTCCAGGGAGAAAGGGCGGTTGAATTGCGTGTGGGCTCCAGGTGTGTGTGAAGGGGGGGGGAGGGGGAGGGGAGGGAAACACAGCCCCCCTTGTCATCGAAGGCCATGTGTGCATCTTTAAAAAAATCAGTACATCAATTTTACAAGACGATCGCCGAACTTTTTATAAATTAATTGCTGAGCTTCGGGACTCATTTTTTGCATTATGTGGGCAGCAATGTGGGATGCGTCCCGGATCTCCTCGATAGATATACCTTCAACAGGACCACAGCCCGCATTGTCATCGTCCCAGATGTCCCAATCACGCCCCTTTTGTTTTTGACGTATCGTGTTTTCCTCCTTGCTTTCCCATTGTGGACAAACGCGATCCAGTCGCATCAAAAGGGAATCAAGAACAAATTCAAGGCACTCCTGCCCTGGGTATGCCCTAACCATTCCAGCCATAAGGGTACGCGCTTCACGAAGAATCTCAGGCTCAATCAAAGGAGACAAATACAGATCGTTACAGACGTAGCGTCTCAGCGCGTTAACTACAGCTTTCTGTCTCTCGAAATCCTCAGCAACAGCATATGAACCCATCGCAGTACCAAAGAACATCTCCCCTGAGGGAATTTCCTGAACAGTTGGAAAATACGTCTTGAGCCAAGTATAGCCCAGCGACATCTCTTCACCGCCATCCAGCATGGCTGGTGCCGCAAAAGTGTCGTGATAAGCAAAGCGAAATGGCCGACAGAAAACGGAACCATTTACTTTTCCAGATTCTTCCTGACTCTCTGCGTCTGAAAAGCATAAGGCTTCACGAATCATTGTGGCAAGAATACATTGATGATGTGTCTGTGCCCCCTCAAGGGCAGTGAGCCACACAGGAACCAAATGCTGAAGATCTCTTCCCTTGTACTTCATTGATGATACAAAGTCGATTCCAAAGTGCAGATAAGGCATGGCTGGAGGGGTTCGCAGGATATTTTCCCACGTTTGACTGTCCAGTAATATTTCATGCACAATGGCGACATCACTTTCTTCCAAAAGGGGTAGAAAATAACAACCGATAATGAGCATCACAATGCTGAACATTGGATTTCTAACCTTCCAGGTACGATCCTGAAGTGTGCTCAAAAAATGGCTGACATGAACCCCCTCTACCCTCCGATTTTCCTGGTCTTCCATAGTTGCTGTAGCTTGCCGAACAACCAGATACCACCATAGCAGTGGAATGATTAACTCTACCAGAATATGACATCTATCACGTTGTAACATCGAGGAATACTCCGACGGAGCACTCGACGGCACCAGCTCCCGCACCACCGTTAAAACCACCTCTACTGTACTGGCAAATCGAACCCAAAGCTGCAAAAGGAGAGGGATAATTTGTTGCCCCATTCGGGATAGCTCAAATCGGGAGGCACACGAGGCATCCAGAAGTGATTCAAGGCAGCTATGGAAGAAGCAAGCCGGGCTCTTGTCGGTTTCAGCAGAAATCAACCTCTCCAAGTTAAAGTCATATCCTTTTCCTTGAGCAAGATAATATAGAAGGTGTCGCTGCAATGCCATAAGTATCGTCTCGCCCTCCTGCCAGTTATTCTGAACATGGGACGAGGACCACCGACTGCCTATCGACAGCTGCTTTAATAAACGGATACAGAGCATCTCGGAGGGTGGACAAAGAGCCTCCGCTACGTATTGACGCACACTTGACGCTGGATGTGACGCGTAACGCATCAAGAGCGGATACGTGCTCTCTTTGTGATCAGACCGAGGGTCTCGCTCAAATAGTTTTATTAGAGCGATGAGGTGACCTTCCACAACGTGAGTTTGAGCTTCTTCAGTCTTTGAAGGGGGTGATGGAGTTTTCTGCGTTGTTAAAAGGCCCTGTAATTTGCTGACAACACGATCAAAAACATAGGAACAGACAGCACCCTCTTGCTCGGCTATGATACATAGGAGAGACGCCGCTTCTTCTCGTACAGGCAGCTGGGCCTCATGTAACGCAGGGATTCCTGCGCGAAATAGCACCTCGTGCAACCAGAGCTGCCCCTCAAAATTATTTTGGTAAAAAGTATGGTTGAACTCGCAATAAATTTTAAGCACACGCAAGAGCCCCTCTCGTTGGTACCAGCCAGCACTGCCGTTTCGTGTCCTTGTCCATCTATAAAGTAGTTTGCTTGCTAGCTGCCGACGCCAGTCGGCACACGACGCCGTAGTGCCGCCTCCATTAACAATGTGTCCTCTTTTTTCCGAGCCAATTGGTTTTATGGGGAATGCACCTCTCTTCGACTGATTTACATTCGCGTTATGGTCCGCCAATGAGGAGAGGCTCGATTGGTGAGCAGAATGGTAGGGAAGCCTTACGGTTGCGCTATCGAGCGCGGGCGTGTAGAAAAGCTTCCTGATACACTCCACGCACTCACGGCGCGTGGAGGACCACATGTCCTCTACGCCGTTAAGGATAATGTCGATCCAAAATGGCGAAATAGCGGATGGGCCGCGGATGGAGGCCTCCGACAGGGCCGCGTTGCACACCGCACGGTACAACTCAAGTCGAACATTTGGATCCCGCTCTATCTCTTCTTCACAATGCTTTGCATCATGATTTAGTGATGCGATAGAAATTTTTTGATCGTCGGATTCGCTTCTGTTCGTCATCTGGAGGCGTTCCCCACTTCTCCTTCCGTTTTTCTTTGCCTTTCTAGAGCTGTAATTTTGCTTCTCAATAGCAAAGCCTTCAAGAAGTGGCGTTTCAGGGTGGATTTTCTCTTTTATTGCCCAAAACAAATAAAAGCTTCAATGGGGCTTTATATTCTAGAGAAACAAAGATGATAACATTGATAAAATGGTAGATTTAAACGTGTTGGGATTCGTATTTTCATATTGTTTTAAATAATCAAGCTACTTGCTGGAGTCCATATTAATGTAGTAAACAAAAAAACGAAGTAAGATTTCATTAATTTCTCACTATTTTTTTGTTTAATGTCCAATCAGTTTAAATAGCAATTACATAAAAATCTTTTAGCGTTAATAAACATATTGGAGTCCGATATCTTCGCCTTCTATAGTATAAATCTTTTCAAAAAATTGGAATACGTGAGTTTGTTGCACATTTACGTGGCTATCATAGTATCGGTTATGTGCCTAATTAAGTGTCTTCTTTTAGTTTCATTAGTGTTGTAGTAGTCTACATGGAAGCACACATATGCGCATACACAAAAATACAAAAGAATGGCGTCTTCCCTCTCGAAAACCAAAAATCGATTTCGTTAGAGGGGCAAATTTATTACATAAAATAGAAATGATGTACATTGATTCCCAACTATAAGCGTAGACGCAATATACCATTAAAAAAAAACACATCAAATCCAACAGAAACAAGTTCCATTAAAAACAATTGTGAAAAAGGGGGGGTAATGGGTTCAAACTCAGAGCAAAAAGAAGCTGCAAGTGGAGAACAACGGGGGTAAATAAACATTTATGTAAACACCACTTTAATTATCAAGAACAGTGAAAATATCCTGGGGGAAAAACTTAACGTATAATTATTAGATGTCGTAGGCAAAGGATTTATTTTTTTGTGTAACACAAAGTGATGACGCCTTTGAATAAATACATTAGTGATGTTCTCCTCCTTGCCGTCATCTCTTGTGGCTCAGGCTTTTTTCCAGACAAAAGTAAGGTGTACGGTTGCATATTCTATACGCACTTCTACATTAACCTAATATCATTTTTTCTTTTTAATAATCGTAAACCGGTCTGTGGCCAAAGTGGTCCTGTGGGAGCATGATATAGTTTTCAGGATCCAGCGGAATACACTGTGAGGGGCATCCATTCGTTCCTGGTACAACCACTGTTCGAGTGAGTTTAAAGACTGACTCGTTGTACGGGCTCTCCTTTACGTGCTTGGACCCTGCGCATCCTTGATGAGCATGCAGCATGGATTCACGTAGCTGGCCCAAATACTCACGCAGAGAACGTTTATCAACGCCTTTTTCTGCAGAGTAGGAATGTGGAGAGTAAGTCTCGTACAGTACATTCCGAAGATCCGTAATGGATGCGACATCTGGGTCAAACGGGACGTCACGACGCGGATCGTCAGTGGTATAGGCCGAGTACGCGTAAGTGTTTCCGATACTAGGTAAGTTAACCTGATGCGGAAGCGTGCGGAGGTCGTTTCGAGAAATGCGCGGCATGTAATCCGAGCGGTACATCGTGGGCCTGAGGCTGCAGATTCTCTCTGGGACCGTTAGGTACGGAATTTGCATTGCTCGATCTACATCCGAGGCATCTTCTGAATTCCATTTTTTGCGATAATTTTCTAGATATTTTTTCCAAATATTCTTTCCTAAACCGACTCCATCAACCTCACCAGAATAGTCATGTCGGTATGTGGATCGAACATCATACGGAGGAGCCAGTAAGCCCATCCTGAAGCCAATAGGTGTCAGTACCATGGTAGGATCCCGAGAACCATCTGTCTCGAGTTTTTTTCCACGCATTTTATTCTTTTCAGTCTCCAGACGCATCGCTAACCCCATCTTTGTTAGGTCGTCCGCTATTTGGTTAGTCGTGCGCAGGATGCTTGGCGGCAAGGAAAGGCTGTCTTTTTTTGGTGGGTGAATTGGTTTGCTTCTTTTGTTGATCACACCCGCAGCGCAAGGAGGCCGTGCGTGCCGAGGTAGGACCTCATAATTAACACAACTCGGGTAACCCGTAACGTGCCGTTCCATTAGGCGTATCGTCCAACAATCCTGTGCGAGGAGAGTCACGACACCTCCCTCACGTTCTGACCGATCAAGACCTTTTAGTGGTGTTGTGTCCTCACATGTGGGTGGTGGCATCAAAGGCGGAAAATCAAGCGTGTGTGTGGATTGACGTGTGACCAGCAGACCTCGTTCAATTTACCGACCCATGATGCAGTTTGGAAGAGAAGTTAGAGAAGAAACGAACTATATCACACAATCATCATCATTTAGCATTCTAGCATAAAACCAGTTTAAAGAGAAGTTCAGTTGGACTAAAAGCATTTTTTCCGCTAAAGCGAAAAGATATCTCCCTTTCCCCATACGCCTTCTATCTTTCTAACAACAATAAAGAATATATGCACACAATTCATTCATAAAAATATAATTATACAATCTAAAATTCAATAATAAATAAGAGGTAAGCTAATGTATACTTCTTCTGCTTCGTTATAAATGTGTGAGAGAGAAATATGCCTCTCCTTAATACGAAAAAAATACAACCTATAAGCACACAGAAATAAATATGTGATCTACTGTTAAATAGTGATAGAATAAGTTAACATAATACACACATAGGTAAAACATAGCATTTACATAAGCATCCATGCTCCTAAACTTATTCTCTATATAAACAGGATGAAGTCTGTAGCGCCTCAACAGAGTATGGATTATTTGTCCATAGAAAGCTCTAGAGCACACCCATAGCATAGGTAGATGTGTCTGCAAAGGAGAACAATCGTGCAACGTTGTCTTTCAAAGTTGTTAATATATGACCACAGACTTTTGTCTCTGTTATTGTCGTTACTTAGTTCATTACACCCACTATCAAATACATCTTCCAGATCGTAGAGATTCACGTGAATTTGCACAAGTTATTTCACAACATGAGTCTTGGTGACGGGGGCCAGATTTCATCATCCTGTGCTTCTGTTGCACCTTTCTTAAGCCAGAGCCGATAATAGGCCAGTAATATTGAGTTTAGAGCTGTCAATGTTGTTTCCTTATGCAAAAGAAGGAGGTATGGATAAATTAATGATTGTAAAAATTCATTCCTTTAAAAAGAAATTATTTCTTATATATAGAACTTGAAGAATTCTAATTTTATGCTAACATTGCTATGTGTTTGTAGATAGGGTTCGCATACGTTGATAGTCTTCCCCCTTCTTCAAAAAGAAAACACTAGACTCGCACTGATTTAGGGGGATCTCCTTATAATCCTGGAACTGGAATAATTTCTGATACCTTTATGTGGAAAAAAAAAGATGCATGTATTAGTTAAAAAGAGGACAATACAGAATGAGAAGTAGTCCCCCGTATTTGATTTTCATCTACATTCTAGACTTTCTAGCATCAATGTTGCGCACAAGAGGATACTTATTCAGGATTTTCCACGTATTATAACATCGAAATTGATACAAAGTATATTTCTATTTACATCTATTCTGTTCTCTTACAAAAAATAAAGAGTAATACGGGAAAGATGATGCGAGAAGGAAAATTCAGATATACCACAGCCACTGTCATGTAGACGTACATCTCGCTCTCCGCTTTCAACCTTTCTAACCTCCTAGTTTATTAGATCTTAATTCTAATGTTTTTGGATGCGACGTAATGCTTGCTTGTATTTCTCCGGGGCCTGAATTTCCTCTAGCTCTTGCAATTTGCGCTCCCGAATTGCATCCAGGGCGGCCTGACGCTCACGAGCCTTGCGCATGAATTGGCGTCCTTCTTCCACTTCCTCCTGACGCTCCAGGCGTCTCCGCTCCTCAACCTCCATCATTTGTTTAAGCAATGCAAGCGCATTTTCCTCGCGAAGCTTACGCACTTGCGCTCTATGGGCCTTTTCTTGCTCCGCGGCTACCTTCTGCGTCGCGAGAATGCGGTCCAGCTCTGCTCGCTCACGGAGTTCTTCCTCGTTCTTCAGCTGCCTTTGCTCGTCGATTTGCTCCTGGCGGGCGCGCTGAAGATCTTCGAAGACTGCCGCTCGGCGCTCAGCTGCTTCCTTCTCCTTATGTTGCTGTTCGCGCGCGTAGGCGTCCTGGACGCGCTTGGCGCGAAGCTCATCCAGCTGGGATTGCTTGTCCTGCTGTTGCTCTTGGGCCGCTCGCAATCTAGCGACCTCTCGCTCTTTCTCGATTGCGATCCTCTGTTGCTCTTTAGCCAGCATTTGCTCTTGTTGATCCTTTTTTCTGATGAATTCAGCCATCTGGCGCTCTTCTTCTGCTTGGAGCTCGCGCTGCTTACGTTTTAGCTCGACTTGTTCTGCATTGGCGATAGCAGCTTCCTCCATCAACCGCTGCACCTTTTCTTGCCGACGAAGTCGCTGCACCTTCTGTTCCTCTTGGAGCAACTCCAGATGCCGAACCATAGCCTCTTGCTCCTGTTGATGACGTTGCAGCTTGCGTATGCGCTCGAGCTCGCGTTCCTTGAGCTGCTCTTTGATGCTTTCCGAGTTAATGCGTTGTTGCTCAAGGCGACGGTACTCGCGTTCTTCGTACACTCTCTCCGCTTTTTTTGCCTCCTCCAGAAGCATTTCATCCATTTTTTTTTCATATTCTTTTTCCTCCTCCTTCTTTTTCTGGCACTCCAAGCGCTGCGCCTCACGCAGCGCAACACATTTGGCCTCTAGGATAATCCGGTTCATCGCTCTGGTTTCATCATACTCCTCGTCCAGCTTTGTGCGTGCTCGATCGAGATGCAATTGTCGCTCGCGTTCCTTTTCCGCTTCCTCGGCAGTTAGGTGTCCTTCACCTTTGCACCGGCGTTCCTCATCAAACTCCATCATCTTCCGCTTTCTTTCCTCGGCAGACGGGGTCCGGCCGTACAGAGATGCCGGTACACGAGAGGAAGAGGATAAACCGCTCGCAGCAAAGTTACCGGAAATCATATCTCGAATCAGTTCAAGCTCGGTTTTAGTCAGAATGGCTGAATCCCGAGGAGCGCCACGCTCGTTTAGCTGTTTTCGAAGTTCCCTATCCGTTTGGCTATGCTTGCGCGGTGGAAATATGCCATATGTCCTGGACCCAAGTAGCGACATGTTCGTCCAGAGTGGGAAATAGTTTAACGGTTGAAACCTTAAGAAAGGAGTACTATGTCAAGTAATGCTAATAATAAATATACAAGAAAGTGTTGGTGAAAGAGGCAGGTGAATAAAAAAACGAAGCGAGTCAAAACGATAGGAAAACAAGGCTCAAACAAAACAACGTACATACTCTTATTGAGAATTATTTTGAATATCATACTCACAAAAGCAAACTACACACACATACGCAGAATAAACACCTTTTCGTTACCGTCGCTCATCATTTCTCTCTAGCTTCTCTGTACTAGTCAGGCTTCTGTACAAATGACGTGTAGAAAGGAGAAGAGGTGAAAGGAATAGCCAAGCTGGTTGTTTATCGTTTAATCGATACCTTTTATTCCATTAATATTAAAATCCTTATATGATACCTAATTCACAACGGCCTAACATGCCTCTGTATGCTCTGTTGCCGGTAGTCCGGGAAACGAGGGGCGCCGCGACTGAGAACCGGCGTGGTGTTTTGTGGATCATTTCGCCGGTAAGGCCTCGTTGGATGATGGAAGAGGGAATTTTTGAAGAGATCAACAAATGACTGCCGTGCGTATTCCTGTAACTTTGGTGGAATTATCTGTTCATGTTGACGTAGAAAGGCAACGAGCGGCTTCGCGAGCCGAATGTTCTCGGGTTGGAAAAAAGTGTAGACATAGCCCGGCAAGCCATGCCGCCCGCAGCGCCCATTGCGGTGCACCCACGTTTCCATGTCGTTCGGCATGTCGTAGTGCACGACGTACACCACACCTCTGAAATCGACGCCGCGGCTAAGAAGATCGGTGCAGATGAGGCATGTGGAGACACCTGAGGTGAACATTTTAAGTACGCCTTCCCGCGCGGTGGTGGAGGCCCGTGAGGTTAACGTGGTGCAGTGGATGCCTGGAACTAACGCCTCCAGGCGATCGTGCACGTAAGCGACGTTATTCCGAGAGTTGCAAAAGATCAACACCCGCTGGTCCGGACTAAGTTTGCCAGATTGGTAGAGCCAGGCCAGTTTCTCAAGCTTTTCAACCCGCCCGAGCATGAAAATGACATGCTTGACAGACGCGTTACCACAGAGAAGCGTGCGTGCATCCTCAGCGTGGTGTTGGTTAGGGGTGGCAGTAATCGGATGCCCACGGGAGTCGTAGCGTACATCCCCCAGAACAAAGCGGTGGGAAGGCTGCAACATTTTCTCACGAATCATCTGATATGCTACTGGTGGAAGTGTCGCACCGAATAGCAGGCGCTGAGGCCGATCATAACGCTTTGGAAGCGCGCTGAGTATTATTTTGAGTGGTTCAAAGTGATTCAAAGAGACAATATCGCTAACTTCATCTATAATAAGGGTCTTGACACGCCTCAAAGAAAGTTTTTGCTTGTAAAGCGCGGGTAGGATAGTTTCTGGCGAGCTAATCAGCACGTCCACCCCCTCCAAGGCGTGAAGAAACTTCTTTTGCTCATCAGCGTTCGTCGCGCGGACCATATAGCGAATATTATAGTCGCAATGTAGGTGGCGGAATACTCCATAAGCCTGAAATGCAAGCTGTGAGGTAGGTACCAGAACCAACACTCGAGGTTCCCCTACTCCGCTGAGCTCCTCAAGACGAGACGGACGTCGCGTTTTGACGTTGAGCGGCATATAGGCGTCACCAATTGGCGGTGGGTGCGGCAAACCCGTCATAGAGCAGAGCGGATTCTCTCTCACGCTCAGCTCGCAGTAACGGCAAACTTCACCGCTGTGGATCTTTTCTTGCAGAAGAGCCTCAATATCGCGACGATTGAGATCCGAGGCGGCGCGCTGTTCGCCATCCTGCAAACCAGACAGCGAGCTGCCGGAGCGACGCCCCGCCATGTCGTCCATGAGCAGCCTCATCATCGTGGGAAACACATAACTGAAGGTCTTCCCTGTTGCCGTCGGTGCGATACAAAGCATATCACGAAATTCTAAGATAAAAGGTATAGCCGCCTGCTGAACGGGGGAAAGATCTCGCCAGTTCTTTTGTTGAATCCAGTCTTGCAGCTGCCCACGTAGAATGTCAGGGCTCATCTCCAATAACTCTTCTAAAGTTCGCGCGGAACCTTTTGGGAGCTCTGCTGGCATCCCGAAGCGATCTGCGATATGTACCTTATAAACAGAGAAATCGGGTGTAGTTTTTGGCACCGGAAGCGCCGTTGTCTTTTTCCTTTTTTCAGTAGTATTATCGGAGTCTGACGCCGCATTTTGCCCCTGCGTGCGATGCGGATTCTCATTTCCCCTTTGAAGTGGTGTTATAACTGCATCTCGCACGAAGCTGTCGATATCAGCCCGTCGAAACCCTTTTTCGCGATTCACCCTCGGGGTTGTCCTGAACCCCACAGGGAGGTCTTTCTCAATGGAGGGTTTGGACGTATTTAATTCAACATACAAGGCTTCAATATCATCCATGCTGTTTGGGTCCTTAATGGTCGATTCGTCATCCGTTTTAGACGTTGATGATACTGAAGGATCTGCATTTCCCACCTTGACTGCTTGGTTGGATTGAGTATCACCGGGAGTGCTAGCATCGGCGCCGGTGGGAGCCTCTTCATCATATTCGCCTTCATTTTGCATCAAATCTATCAGAGTAAACGACTCGTAGTTGGGTTGACTCAAATCCTGTGGAGAGGGTGATAGGGGATGGGAAATCCCAGGGAAGGAGCTGCTGTGCATGCGATGGTGGGTAGCAGCGACGGCTCCGATTCGCACTCTGCAACGTACGCCGACCAAAGATCGCACCACTCTATAGGCTGGGGAGAAAGCCAGCGACGTATAGACGACCGCACATCGCATCGGTTTAGGCAAAGTTACCTTTTATGTGCTTTATATTGTAAACAGATATATTGAGAGGGTCAGAACGATCTTTAATTGTTATTATTATTGTTGTTATTGGCACCCCATTGTAAGATTTGTCATGAAGGTAAATACCCAGGATGTGTGTTGCCATGCATGCACATCAAGAACAAAAAGAATATTTACCGAGCTGCCTGTGGCGACAGACCCACTTATCTATTTGAATTGAGTTGTTCACTTTTGCTAATTGGTACTACACAAGTTTACCTCATGATTCACCTCCCCTCCTTCCCTCTTCAAAATATAGAATCTAAACCCATATTTTGCTTCATCGCTTCATAGCGTTCAATGTCTTCCAAGAGTGCTGATGTAAAGACACTATTAGCTTCATTTGGTGTAGGATGCGCGGACAACGAGAACAATGGTGAATTCATTTGTGGTAATTCAAGCGACGTGTTCCTTTTTGATGAATTTAATTCCACCAGGTTTGTGGAAGCCTGGTGCCGCAACGAGGGATGTCGTGAAGCTAGCCTCGATGGTAACGTGGGAACTTGCACCGTTGGAGAGGATGCTTTGTGTTGCTGCGATAATAAAAGTGCTCCTGCGTTTTCATGCGCTTGGATGAGAGCCTGTAAGTGCACCCTATTGTTACCATATAACATCAAGCTCCAAGCTTGATGCTTATGCATGGCTAGAACGATGAGTTTTTCCACATTGCTATGAGCAGCACCACGACCAGATAATGCACCAACCAAACGGGCCTCCGAATTCGGACTAAGAGGGCATTTTTCATCCAGTATGTCATTTATGATGTGCGATGCCACAGGCACTGCGATTGGGCTGAGGCCAGATTTACTAGAGATTGCGGGCTGTGTAAAATAGAAATAAAAGACTAGCAAAAGTCCAAAACGACGCGCATGCGGGTGTACAACCGCCGCCGGGAAATACAAATACGCGGCACTCAGTTGCAACACTTCTTCAACAACCCACTCATGGTATGGGCAGTCTAAGGTACAGTTGCCGCTGTAAAACAGATACTCCAGGTGACTTTTCTCGAAGAGCGGAGCAAAATTCTCGACAGTGGCCATATTGAGATCTGGGAAGGCACTTATAAAGTTCATGTACACACTGGCTAGATCAGCTGCCAGTAGCGCACGGCAAGCCTGTTGGCTATTTTGCTTCAAACGAAGACTCATTCGTTATTTCTATTGAGTTTTCTCTATCTTTTTGTTGACAAACTGATTAGGTCTCATAATTTGCTCTTCTACCACCACCACCACCATTTGTTCGAAAAAATGACGGCATATGAAGAAAGGAAAGCGAACAAAGAAAAATATGTTAAAGATGCATGCGCGAAGATGTGTAGTAAAGCATATGAAACCACCTCCCACTTTTTATTTTAAAGGACCTCATGTCATGTAGAAAATGGTAGAACTCGGGAAAAGGCTTTTTTTCTTTCTCTGTTTATAATTCTCTATTGCATGTCGCACCCAACGTTCAAAGGCCACACTACTCCAAAGTTATACTCTGGAAAAGAGGAGCCAAGAAAAAGGATGGTCGACCGAAAACTAATGCACCACTTAAGGTTTTACATGAGATTTGTAGTTTATTAATTACCTAATACTTTCGTCACTTCCCTCCCATAACTCCTTTCCATCGATACGGCAATCGGTTTTCTCGAGTGAAGAGGGTTTCTTTTTGACTTATGCGATGTCTTTTTTTCTTCCCCCACCCTTTTTTTTCTTTTTAGAGGGATAGAAAGGTGGGGGGAGGAGACGGCTCCCCTCCCGAGCAAACAACACTACGTCAAATATCGCTGTTCAAAATCCATGATCTCCTTCGTGCACGCCCCGTAAACCATCGCCCCATTCGACGAGTGGCTTCCACAACGCCGCACCCACTCCACCACGAGCCTCATCGCCTGCACCATCTGATATGCTTTCTGGGAGTTGGTCGAGGCCGCAGGGGCGTCCGTCGCGGCGGGGAAATGCCGCCCAACGGCGCTCGGGATTCCAATATTCCCGGCAACCCCCCCTCCGCCAAGGTCGCCCTGCTGCGCGTACACCCGCAGGAGGGTGTTCGCGGCGCGAAAGACGAGCGGCAGTACCGCCGTGGCGGCGGTTATCACATCTATCGAGGCCCCACACAGAGCCTCCACCTCCGCTTCCTTCCCTTCCCGCAGCCCAGACCTCGGCGCGAATGGCAACGCGAAGAAGCGGTGGAGGACCTGCTCGAGGTCGCCCGTCGCCTCGGCCTCGTAGATCGCCGCCATCGCGCAAAGAAGGTCGAGGGTAGGGAGGTCGATGGCA